CACTGACAAAGAAGATTAATCAGAACTGGCTTTGACAAGCACTGTGGCATTTGGACAAGAACAAACTGGGAGGAGGGTAGAGAGACTAGTGCAACAATGAATGAATGGAAACCCAAAATCTCTGTAAATGTTTATGAAAATTAATAAAATATAGAAAAAAATAGATTGGATTCATGTGCATTGAATTCTTTTTGTAACTTACTTCCTGTTGGTTTTGAATAAAAAGACAGAGAAGCTTGGCTTGAGATCTTCATTGGAGAACTATTGGCCCCCTGTTTTATGCTCTCTGCTTTATCACATTCCTGGCTGTTTGTCTCTTTATTAATAATTATAAGATTATTCTATTCTTTGGGACCCTCGGTCTGCAACAAGAATACCAACCCACTAAAGGCCAGAAATTAATTTGTTCCCCACTTTAATCCTAAGGAACAGAAAAGTGCCTGGCATTCAGTGAGTGCTCAGAGATTCCGAGGAAGCCGCAGGTCAGAGCAGGAATAGGAAGAGCAACTGCTGATGCCCTGGCATGGGAACATGCTTCGTCTGTTGATGAGAAATAAGGCCCACAAGTGAGTAAAAGCTGAGAGGTCAACAGGGACCAGGCCCAACAAGACTTTGCTGAGAGTTGTGAGGACAGAGGAGATTTACAAGCAGCAGCAACACATCGCAGTGGGTCCACTCACCCTGCCAGAATTTCATGGTCTGACACCTTCACGCTGGATACACCATCCCTGGCCTCGTCTAGAGTCTGTACCGGCTCTTGCTTCCTTGAACGGCAGTCCCAACAGCGGATGCTGGAATCGATAGACCCTTGAAGCCAGGAGGAAGGACTAGTCAGTTTTAGGAGAGCAGGAGCAGCATCCTTCTACTCCTGCCTCTCGGCCCCACACTCACCAGATAGGATCACTGTGGCGTCTTCGTTAAACTGCACCGTGTTCACCTTCTGAAAAACAGTGACTGTCACTCAGAATGGACCGGACTTGGGCGGGTTGGGGATCAAAACAGGGTGCAAGTGAAATGAAGCAATACTAAAAGGTAGGATGCCTGTGCGGTGGACGATTTTTGGACGTTATTTCAGAGGCAAGGCCATCAGGCATTCAAGGGAAGGGGAAAGATCCTCAGGCTGTAATAAAGGTCTGAGTTTGTGCGTGCCCTTGTCATTACCTACGCGTTACTGAGGATTCCCAGTCCCACCCCCTTTTAATAATGACCTCCCCGCGTGCTCGCACTTACCCCTGCGTGGCCCCGGAATTTGCGCACCACCTGCCCCGAAGCCACGTCCCACAGCACCACGGCCTTGTCTCCACCTCCTGAACAGAGACTGCTGTTGTCAAAGGAGCTGGAGGGGAAAGAAGGAAATGTCATCCACCTCCGATCTCGGCCCCAGCGCTCCAAAGCCGCCTGGCCCTCGACTCACCTGGCTGCGTCCAGCACCTCGTAGCCATGGCCACTGTACGTCCGCAGGAGCGTTCCCCGCAGCGGGTTCCACAGCTTCAGGGTCTTGTCGCTGCCACACGTCAGGCAATAATTTCCATCCACTGGGGAACAACAGGCAGAGGTTAAAGGGCCGCGGAACTCTAAGGAGGCTGCGGGGAGAACCCCGAATGAAGAAGGCGGCGCTCACCGTTAAATCGCACCGCTCGCACCGCCCCCTGCCCGCAGTCCAGGGTCTTCAATCGCTTCTTCGGTAGCTCGGGGGCCCGTGGCTTTGGCTCAGGGAAAGCCATAGCTCCAAACCCTCCGCACCACTCGCCAGGAGCGCAGACCGAAGCTTCAGATCCTCCAAATCCACGTCTAGCTAGACCGAAGCGTCAGATCCTCCAAATAAATCTACGTCTAGCTAGACCGAAGCGTCAGATCCTCCGAAGCCACGCCCAGGTGTAACTTTATTATTGGACCTCACGACGTACTTCCGGTCTTTCATTTATAGGATAACGTCTTCACCCGTTTTGGATATAGCATTCAGGATGTTGAAGCCTGCTTTCAGGACTTCCCCCTCAGCCTCTATTTCCTAGGAGCATTTCTGATCCCTTCTAGCTAGCGTTCCTTCGTTTGGTTGAGGGAATCCCGGCTCCGCCGCTAGGAACCGAAGTAGAGGGCTGCGGGTGTTACTCGAAAAGAAACCCCCATTTCCACGCCGGAAGCAGCCTGCGCGGCGGTAGTGGCGCGTCGGGATTTTGACAAGATATGGCTGCGAACAGTATGTCGGACCCACGGAGGCCAAACAAAGTGCTTAGGTGAGGTCTCCAGCGTTATGGCGGTGAAGTTGAGTTATGGGCGTGGGTAGGGTGTCTAAGAAGGTGGCCGTTGTAGGGGCGGGACGTGGGCGCCCCTGACTCTTAAGCCTGCCGTAGGTACAAGCCGCCTCCGAATGAGTGTAACCCAGCCTTGGATGACCCGACGCCGGACTACATGAACCTACTCGGCATGATCTTCAGCATGTGTGGTCTCATGCTCAAGGTGGGCAGGACCTGCTTGTGGATGGGGCCTGATTTTGGCCTTTGGCCGGTACCGGACTGTGTTGCTTACTCTAGACAGTTGGGATCTAAATGTAGCCTAGGGGAGGGTTTAGGATAGCGCTGGGTCGAAGTTGTTGCGGAAGCCCCGAAGCCAGGTTGGAATGGATTCGTGGGAGGTCATCTGCGTGGGGCCAGGCTTTGAAGCAACTTCGAGGGGGCTCCTGGCAAAAAAAGGCGGCGCCCAGCATGAGGGGTACATCATGAGATAGTTGTCTTGGGTCTCACAGGGCACCTTGGGGTTAATACAGGTCAGGGAGTAGAATCGGGTACTTGGAGTAGATTGAGAAGGGTCAGGACCTCGGGACAAATCATGAATTGGAACCGGTGCCTGGGAGAGTGACTTTTGAGTCTAAGGCTTGTTGGGGCTTACTGTCTTGCCTCTCACCGACCTAACTCACACATCTCCTTACTCTTTCCACCCACTTACTCTACCCCAGCTGAAGTGGTGTGCTTGGGTTGCTGTCTACTGTTCCTTCATCAGCTTCGCCAATTCCCGGAGCTCAGAGGATACCAAACAGATGATGAGTAGTTTCATGTGAGTTGGGGCCTAGAAAGAAAGGGACCCTATAGGGGAAAGAGAGACCCATAACCTCCTGAACCCTAATTTATCCCTCTCTCCCATCTCAGGCTGTCCATCTCGGCCGTGGTGATGTCCTATCTACAGAATCCTCAGCCCATGACACCTCCATGGTGATGCCAGTCTTGATGGGGGTGGGGGTCACATTCTAGGTGCCATCTATTTATCTTGCCTCGGGCCTGGCCTCAGGCTGTTGAGTTTTCTGTCCATGACTGAGGCCTTAGGCTTCTTCCCTGGTGAGGCATCTCAGGACTCTCAGCTGAGTGGACCAAGCCCTCTTCTGGAACACATGAAGAACAAACATCCTGAGCCTCCACCTGGACCGTCCTTCCTCACCCTGCTTGCTGCTGGTGGGAATGGTGTCCGTTTTTTGAGTATTTCCACTTTTCTTGTTGCAATCGGTTAATAAAATTTATCCCTTGAGCTCTCCTCTGTAATCTGCCTCCTTCTGTGCCATTAGGACTATTCCTTCCAGTGGGAAAACTACCTCAATCCTGGGGTGGATGAGCCTGTTTGTACTGATTTTACCAGTCTCCTGTCTGAAGTCAGGTGCCTGCGGTAGGACAGTGACCTCTATTCTCTGCAACTCGGCAGATATAAACCTGCTGATACTAGGAATCTGGGCTTTGGTTTTGTTTGTTTTTTATCAGAGTAATGGGATATTATCTGTAACTTGGATGGGCCAATGGGAATGAATGAGGGTGACTCAGATGACTTCCTCCACCTGATAGGCCTCTTAGCAGCAGCAGATCATCAGAGGAGCCCTAAGGAGCTCAACTAATCTTGGCGGCTGACTCCCATCCCCAAATTTCCAAGGGCGCTTTTATTACCCTACGCTCAATTCCATAGATTGAACAAAACTGAATTCCTGTTACTAGCCAAACTGAGTCCTTCCTGGATAGAAGGTGTAGAAGTGACTTTTAGGAAACACAGACTCACTCTCAGCAACCCTTAGGAAAGTCTGAGACTTCTCATGAGGACAAAGGGACCCTCTAAGCATGCCTGGAGCCGGTTTCTGCATGTTTCAAAATTGGGAAGGGTGTACGCCAGGGATGTGTCCTATCTCCATACCTTTTCAACCTGTATACAGAGCAGATTATCCGAGAGGCTGGGCTCTCTGAGGAGAAGTGTGGCGTTAGGATTGGTGGACGATCTAGCAACAATATGCGTTATGCAGATGACACAACCCTGCTCGCTGAAACTGAGGAGGACCTCATGCACTTACTGCAGAGGGTCAAGGACTGCAGACTTCAGTATGGACTGAGGCTCAATGTCAAGAAGACGAAGATTCTCACCACCAGACCAATCGGTAGCATCAGGATGGATGGCAAAGAGATTGAGATTGTTCACAGCTTCAGTTTGCTCGGCTCCACGGTCAACACTCTTGGCACCAGTAGCCAGGAAATCAAAAAACGTATTGCGATGGGAAAGTCTGCGGTTAGGAACCTCTCTACTCAAGAGCAATGGCGTCTCTCTGGAGACTAAGGTGCGCCTGATACAGGCCATGGTTTTTGCAATCACTTGTTATGCATCAGAGAGTTGGACAATGACTAGGGAAGATAGAAGGAGAATTGATGCCTTTGAGCTGTGGTGCTGGAGAAGAGTATTGAATGTACCATGGACTGCCAAGAAAACAAACAGATTCATCGTAGAGAGGATTAAACCAGGCTGCTCCTTGGAGGCAAGGATTCTGGGGCTTCGCCTGACATACTTTGGACATGTTGTAAGGAGAGACAGGTCTTTAGAGAGGGACATCATGCTGGGTAGAGTAGAGGGACAGCGCAGGAGGGGAAGACCCTCTGTGAGGTGGATTGATTCAGTGACTGGGGTAATCGGGATGGGTGTGTCAGAGGCAATGAGATTGGCGCAGGATAGAGCACAGTTTAGGGCTGTTGTGCATAGGGTCGCTATGAGTCGCAAACTACTGGACAGCACATAACAGCAACAACATCTGTTCTAGGTGTTATGTGACCACGTTAGGCTTTGTCCACCAGCGGCTTTGCGGGAGAAACATGGAAAGTCCCATAACCTGCCTGTTGCAGCCTCCGAAAACCTACTAGATATTTAGCTATGTGTTGGTTCAAACTCAACTGCAAGTCAAAGGCCTCGGCACACTGGCGAACTGGGCTACCGCCCTACTCTCGAGACATGCCGGTTCACGCCTGGCCCGGCCCCGCCCCTGGCAGCACCGATTGGCCAGGTCAGGTCCGGGGGCGGGGCCTCCGCGCTGACTTGAGCTGGGTGGGGGAGCCCCAGGAAGCGGCAGTGGCGGCTGGACCATGGGCGCAGACGGGCCGGCGGCGGCGGGGGACAGAGCTGGCGGGCGCGCGGCTGGGCCCTGGACAAGCTCCGGCGCGCCGCGGCTGCCGCCCCGCTCCCTCCTCCTCCTCTTCTTTTTGTTGCTGGCGGTGCTCGGCGTCCGGGCCTCGAGTTACAAGGTGAATGGGGCCCGAGGGTGACAATGGTCACGTGAAAATGTGAAGACCTATACACCGAGGGGTGCGTGAGCCTTTTTTTTTGGGGGGGGGCTGTGCCAGGGAATGGTTTGCTGGCGTCACAGTGTGGTTTGAGCGCGTTACTTTGTGTCATTGAGAAATATGACTGCTGCTCGGGGCACGTCTGCCTGTAGACTTTCCTGGACTTTGCATGCCCATAACTGTGATTGGAGGTGGGAGCTGGTGGAAGAAGGGAGGAGGACCAGGAGAGAACTGAAACACTAGAATCCACCTGCCTGGAGCTTCGGCTCTTCCCCGTTCTTCCCCTTCCTGTCTCTGTGACTGTGGACAAGTTGGGTTCTCTTGGAAGCCAGTTTCCCCATCTGGAACGGAATCGCATGTACTCACTGTCTCTGGTGACTGACATTTGCAAATGCTTAATTTATCTGCCATTTTTCAAATGGATCCCTGGTGGGGTAGACAGTTAACATTCAGCCACCTAGTGGAAGCTTAGCATTTCAAGGCCACTCAGAAGGGCCTCCTAGAACAACTAAAAAAACTTACTGCCATTGAGTTCCAACCGACTCATAGCTGACCCTTTGGAAATTGCATGGGATGAGATTGCCTGTCTTTCTTCTGCAGAGCATTTGGTGGATTCAAACTGCCCATCTTTGAGATCACAGTACAATTCCGTATCCTCTAGGCCACCAGAGCTCCCTCATGAAGAATGACCTATGATTTTATTTCTGGAAGAAAACCCCATTTCTTTCTACTTTAAAACACACAGAGTCCTAATTGAGAGTTGACACCACAGTAATTGGTTGGTTTTCTTCTTACTAATATTTTCTGTTTTCCCCGGGTGTGAGTGAGAGCTGTTCTGTTGGGTTTGGGTGCAGTGAGATTTGGATCTGGGAAGCAATCTAGGAGACAAGTGTGAGTAGTGTGTACTCCCTGGGAGGGACTTGGTGTCTCTGCAGACAACAAGGATCAGGTCACAGACTGGTCACTCAGTCACTTCCTGCTGAATCAGAGCCTGTATCTCCCCACCCCCACCAATAAACCTTGTTATCTTGAGGTTACTGATGGGGTGGATGTTTGGGGTCCCTGTGCAGACTTGCCCCAAGGTACAGCCGGACATGCTCAACGTTCACCTGGTGGCTCACACCCATGATGACGTGGGCTGGCTCAAGACAGTGGACCAGTACTTTTATGGCAGTGAGTATAACAGAGTGGGATAAAGGCCGCTAGATCCCTGTGGGTCTTGGACACTGGGGGGTGATAATGCCCAACCTGGGCTCCTGGATCTGTGTCTAGGAATGTCCCTTTTGGCCTTTCTGGTCCTGACTGCCTGCTCCCTGTGTCCTAGTCCATGGTAACATCCAGCACGCAGGTGTCCAGTACATTCTGGACTCAGTGGTCTCCTCCTTGCTGGCCGACCCCACACGCCGCTTCATCTACGTAGAGATTGCCTTCTTCTCCCGATGGTGGAAGCAACAGACCAGAGCAACACAAGAGACTGTGCGGGAGCTGGTGCGCCAGGGTGAGTCTGCCCTCAGGAAGTGAAAAGAGGAAGCCCAGCTCAGTTTCCTTTTCTGCCACCTTGCCTTCTGCGATTGTATCACGCCACATATATGCCGTGGATGCTTGTGGTTCCGTCTGTCCGAGTTCCCTTTATCTGAAGAACTCTTACAGGTTTTGCAGTGCCTCACTGCCAGTGCAGCATCTGGGAAGCCTGTCATGAAGGGAACCCCTTGTCCTAGATCTGGCTCCACTGGCCTGGGCGTGGCCTTGCTTCTTCTGCTTATGCCTGGACCTGTCATTCCCAGCAATGCCCGAGTTCCCCTACTCCTGGCCTTGACTTCTCATCGCACCTTTCCCAGTGTAGGACGCCTGGAGTTTGCCAACGGTGGCTGGGTGATGAATGATGAGGCGACCACTCACTACGGAGCCATTGTGGACCAGATGACGCTGGGGCTACGCTTCTTAGAGGACACATTTGGCAGTGATGGTCGCCCCACTGTGGCCTGGCACATTGACCCCTTTGGACACTCACGAGAGCAAGCCTCATTGTTTGCACAGGTATTACTGCTGGCCTCTTGGATGAGCCCCTCGTGCAAATCTATGCTTTTACCAACCCCACACCCACAAAACACATGTGATCCTTTGAGATCCTGACCCCTTGACTGTGCTGGTCTTTTGCCACTCTGGCACAAGCCTTCCTGTGATCCAGCCTCAAACCCACCTGGTTTCAGATGGCTCAGTCTACATCCCTGACCTACCCTTGTTATACTGTAATCTGCTTTGCTTAGTCTGATCCTAACTTCTCCCCAGACTTTGTGGCAGACAGAGGCTTAGGAGAAAAGGGCTTTTTGAAGGAGTTCTGATGGACTACTGGCAAGAAACTACACTGCAGTCCTGAAGGCACGTGGTTTGAGGCCATCAGGTCCTCCGCAGGAGAAAGATGGTCAGTCTCCTCCTGTGTGATTAACTGCCTCTGAAAACCCGCCAGAGGGTCAGCAATGGGTCGGTTCTGACTCTATGGTACACAATAACAATAACAATAACATACCCCTGTCAGCTGTGACCAGGCTCCTGTTCCTGGAGGAAGGTGGAGGTCGCTTTTCACCCTCTCCCTGCTCTCCTGCAGGGACCTGCTCTCCTTGTAGTGGTTCTGACTTGTCTTCAAGCTTGGAATGGTTCTAGAGCCCCCCCTGGTGTCAGATCCGCTTTCTCTCTGTGCTCTGACCATCACTCCCCAGCTGGTTTGGGCCTGGTAGGTGGTGAGAGGTGGGCATTGGTTCAGGCTGCCTTCTCCTGTGTTCTGACTCTCAGATGGGCTTTGATGGCTTCTTCTTTGGGCGCCTGGATTATCAAGATAAGATGTTTCGGGAGAACATGAGGGAGATGGAGCAGGTGTGGCGGGCCAGCAGCAGTCTGAAGCCCCCAGCCGCTGACCTCTTCACAGGTGAGCAGGTGTAGGGTGGACCTCATGCATGTGTCCTGTGTGCTGTCCCAGGTCCAGAGGGCCTTGCACTAGATCTGATTCTTTGCCATCTTTGTCTTAAAATTTTAATATGTGAACAATGTTTCAGCATTTTAATTTTTCATTTTTGTTGTTGTGTGAAACTGCATTGGAACTACCTCGTAGCCGACTCTCTAACCAGTTCCAAGAGGCAATAAATTGCTTGGGAGGAGATTGTTCATCTTTATCCCACATAGTAACTGGTGGCTTCAAATTGTGTGCTTGGACTTCGCAGCACAGCTCCTTACCACTTGGCCACCAGAGCTTCATTTTACACCTCACATATTTTTTAGCCTGCCTTACATAGGGGACGTTAGGCTTTGACCTTAGGGTGGGTCTAGTGTGCCAAGCCCCCCTGACTCTGGTATGACTTGCAGGTGTGCTGCCCAACATGTACAACCCTCCAGATAATCTGTGCTGGGATGTACTATGTGACGACATGCCTGTGGTAGATGACCCTCGCAGCCCCGAGTACAATGCCAAGGAGCTGGTCACTTACTTCCTTCAGCTGGCGACTGCTCAGGTAAACACCATCTCCGGAGCCTGCAGAACTGGTGTGGATTATCCCACGCCTTCCCACAGCCCAGATGTCCTAACAGCTCCTTGCTCCTTGTAGGGAAAGTAATATTCTATATATCATGGTCATATCCTCTTCTTGGAATTGGGTATTTTCCTGACCAGAGCACTGATCATACAGTGGTTAATGCTTGACTACTGACCGAAGAGTTGGTGGTTCAAACCCAGCAGTTGCTCCCTGGAAGAAATCTTTGTAGAATCTGCTTCTGTAAAGATTACGGGGCTTAGAAACCCTGTGGGACTGTTCTTTGTCCTACAGGTTCTCTCTAAGTTGGAGTTGACTCAAAGACAGTTGGTTTTGAAGAATGTGCAGACCCCCTTTCCTGCTGGACACTTGCACACACTCCCCATCAGCAGGAAAGTGTGGTCAACCTGAGGGAACCCATGAATTCTTCACTGTTTTTATTTGTGTCCCTATGTTGCCACATACCATTTTCCACTCTTTTATTTACTTCTATATTTTGGTACTGGTAGTAGTATGCAAGGACTGCACCCTTCAATATGAATTGAAGCTCAACATCAAGAAAACAGAGACTCTCACCACTGGACCGATCGGCAGCACCATGATAGATGGTGAAGAGATTGAGATTGTTAATAGCTTCAGTTTGCTTGGCTCTACAATCAACACTCTTGGTTCAGCAACCAGGAAATCAAAAGACGAATTGCATTGGGAAAGTTTACTGTCAGAGACTTCTCCAAAGTACTGAAGAGCAATGATGTCAGTCTAGAGACTGACGTGCACCTGATTCAGGCCATGGTCTTTGCAATTACTTGCTATACATTGGCTAGCTGGACAGTGACTAGGGATGACAGAAGGAGAATTGATGCCTTTGAGCTGTTGTGCTAGTGAAGAGTATTGAATATATCATGGACTGCTAGGAGAACAAACAAATTCATCCTAGAGAGGGTGAGACCACATTGCTCCTTGGAGACAAGGATTCTGAAGCTTCATCTGACATACTTTGAACATTTTGCAGGGAGGGATCAGTCCTTGGAGAGGGATGTCATGCTTGGGAGGGTAGAGGGACAGTGCAAGAGAGAAAGACCCTTGATGAGATGCAGTGATTCAGTGATGCAGTGATTCAATAATGGGAGCAGGTGTGTCAGACAATAAGATTGGCACAGGATAGAGCAGGGCTTAAGGCTGTTGTACCTAGGGTCACTATGAGTTGCAGCAGACTCAACAGCACATAACAACAACAACAGTATGCTTTATTTTTTAGAGTAGTTTTAGTTTTGCAGAAAAATTGTACTGAAAGTACGGAGCTACCATCTACTTCCACATTCCCTGCACACAGTTTCTGCTACTATCCAGTCTTGACACGTATGTACCCAGGATCAAGCTGTATATAAGGGGTGGCTCTGACATCTTGACTGGAGGACTCCCCTCTTCCAACCACAGGCCCGGCACTACCGCACCAACCATACCATAATGACCATGGGCTCGGACTTCCAATATGAGAATGCCAACATGTGGTTCAAGAACCTTGACAAGCTCATCCATCTGGTCAACAGCCAGGTCAGTGTTCCCATCCAGGGTACCTGTGTACACTGGTGTGCTTGTATCCCTGTACCTTGAGCCATAGTGATTTGTCCATGACAAATTACCACACAGTTACTGGCCTAAAGCAACAGAGAGGTCATCTTCTATTTCTGTAGGTGAGCAGTCCAACCTGGGTGTCACTGGGTAAGATTATAGCTTCAGCTGAGTTGCCTCTGTCTGGAGGTTGGCTCTAGGAAAGGATTTCTCTGCCATTCTAGCTGCTAACAGCTGCCTGAGTTCTTTGGCAAGTGGCCCCTTCCTCCATCTTCAAAGCCAGTAACACAGTATCTCTCTTGGATCCTGATCTGTCTTCACATCTTCTCTCATGTCTTTTCACCCTGTCTTTTTCTTCCTTAAAGTTGCCTGTGATGACAGTGGGCCTACCTCAGTAATCCAGGATAATCTCCCTAGTTTCACGTGATCTGATTGGCAGCCGTAAAGCCATACCCACTTTTTTTCCATTTTGCCTCAGTGCCCTCATCCATGTGGTGAACCGAAGGGAACTTATGACGATGACTGACTCCTGTGAGGCACACATGTTCTCTCCAGCTTCTTCTTACTAATTCTGACACTGACCATCCCAAGCAGAGCAATCTCTGCTTCTCTCCCAGGTTTGCTAATTCATTGCAATGACCATGCAGAATTTACAGGTCATAGTTACAGTTGCTGAAGATTATCCAAAAACGACTGGACCAGCACATCAGCAGAGAACTACCAGAAGTCCATGCTGGGTTTAGAAGGGGTCATAATACTAGGGATATTGTACTTGATGTTAGATGGATCTTGGGTGAAAGCAGGGAATACCAGAGGAATGTCTATCTGTGTTTCAGTGACTATGCAAAGGCATTTGACTGTGTGGATCATAACAAACTGTGGCTGACTCTGAGAAGAATGGGAATCCCAGAAAATTTAATTGTGCTAATGCGAAACCTATACTTGGACCAAGAGACAGTCATCAGAACAGAGCAAGGGAACACTGCATGGTTCAAAATTGGGAAGGGCGTACGCCAGGGATGCATGATATCTCCATACCTTTTCAACCTATATGCAGAACAGATTATCCAGGAGGCTGGGCTCTATGAGGAGAAATGTGGGGTCCAGATTGGTGGACGATCTATCAACAATCTGTGTTATGCAGATGACACAACCCTGCTTGCTAAAAATGAAGAGGACCTGAAGTACCTGCTGCAGAGGGTCAAGGACTGCAGCCTTCAATATGGATTGAGGCTCAATGTCAAGAAGACAAAGATTCTCACCACTGGACCAATTGGCAGCATCAGGATGGATGGTGAAGAGACTGAGATTGTACACAGCTTTAGTTTGCTTGGCTCCACAGTCAACAGTCTTGGCACCAGCAGCCAGGAAATTAAAAGGTGCATTGCCATGGAAAAGTCTGCTGTTAGGGACCTCTCCAAAGTACTGAAGAGCAATGGTGTCTCTCTGGAGACTAAGGTGTGTCTGATACAGGCCATGGTCTTTGCAATCGCTTGTTATGCATCAGAGAGTTGGACAATGACCAAGGAGGATAGAAGGATAATTGATGCCTTTGAACTGAGGTGCTGGAGAAGAGTATTGAGAATACCATGGACTGCTAGGAAAACAAACAGATTTGTACTGGAAAGGGTTAAACCAGGTGGCTCCTTGGAGGCAAGGATTCTGAGGCTCCGTCTGACATACTTTGGACATGTTGTGAGGAGAGACTGGTCCTTGGAGAAGGACATCATGCTTGGGAGGGTGGAGGGACAGTGCAGGAGGAGAAGGCCCTCTATGAGGTGGATTGATTCAGTGACTGGGATAATCGGGATGGGAGTGTCAGAGACAGTGCGATTGGCACAGGACAGAGCAGAGTTTAGGGCTGTTGTACATAGGGTTGCTATGAGTTGCAAGCGACTCGACGGCACATAACAACAACAACATGGAGGTTTACATAGGGAAGACCTTGGAGGCTAGGATTTTGAAGCTCCATCTCCTAAACTTTGGGCATGTGGTCAGGAAGGTCTGGTCCTTGGAAAAGGAAGGGTGTAGGGATAGCACAGAAGAGGAAGACCGCAGATGAGATGGATTGATACAGTGACTGGGGCAATGTGTGTCGGCAATGCGTGTGGGGTAGGTGTGTCTGAGTCAGTGAGATTGGCTCAGGGCAGGGCAGACTGTTGTACACAAGGTCACTGTGAGTGTCAGACAACTTAATAGCACATAACAACAAGAACATGGGGTTTATTAAGGAGGATATAGGATATAATTCTTGGGTCAGGACACTCTTCTTAGCTGCGTCTACAAGCAGGCCTTTTTCTAGTCCGTGGCCCCTCAGACTCTTAGCTGGGCCTCTGTCCTTTTTGGGACATTATTTTGTTTTGTTTTCATTTAATTAAAAAAATATTATTAATTGTCATTAAAATTTACAGATATTTTGGATTTCCATTCATTCATTGTTGCACTTTTTTTTTAATATGCATCTACTCCTCATTTATTGGCTATTTCATTATCTGACAGCTCAAATTTACAACATCGAAAAATATACTATTCAACTCTTCAAATGTAATGAGTCAACAGGCGTGGCAACAACAGCTGCATAGCACCCCCTCCTTTGAAGAAGGTCTCCTGGCCTCTGGGAAGCTGGGCCATGCTTCCAAGAGCTCTCCTTTCCCTCTTGTGAGCCCACTTTTCTCCCTGCCAATTGTCCCCCAGTTCGCTCTTCTCTTTGAAAAGTAAAAGAAAAATTCTCTCACTGTTACACAATCCCTCCCCCCAAGTCCACTCCACTATGCAGCCTTCATTATGGACTCCTGTCATGACAATAATACCTAATCACATATCCCTTTTAAATAGTTCTTTTTTCATATGTTTCAATGCAGTATGTATAATTTATCCCGTCTTTCTCAGTCTCCCCTCAACCCTGATGTCAGTCCTGTTTTACAATGACACTATGCAGTATTTGTCCTTTTGTGACTGAGATATTTCACTCAGCATAATGTCCTCCAGGTTCACCCATTTTGTATATTTCATGAGTTCTTGTTTTTCAGTGCAGCATAGTATTCCATTGTGTGATTATACCATAGCTTCTCTATCCATTTGTTTGTTGATGGGCCCTTAAGTTGTTTCCATTCATTGCTGTTATGAACAAAGCCGTGATAAAGAGGAGTGTGCAGGGACATTGTTACAGTGTTCTTTAGCACCTGGAGGTGCCCCACTCCACAGTAAGCCATAGCCTGAAGGTGGTAAGGTGTTTGGCTACATGATTTAGCAAGCCTGGCTCTGTAAGTATACCAGTTTATCTGGAAGCCACCTGCCTAAAAGCTCTCAGCTCTTTCACTCCATGGATCACACCCACCCCTTGTAACTGCCTTGATCTGTGGACTGGGCAGCCCACTGCACCCTCTCCTTCCTTCTCTTAGATCCTTTGCTGTCGTCTCAGTGATACAGCACTCTCCTGGTCTTAGACAGTCTCTCAAGTTCAGGGACCTGGATCGAACTGTTGGGCTCCACCCTCGCCTCTTCTTAATGGCAGTGAAGCTCCCTTTCCATATTAAACCTGGAAAGATGGCAAAACTGATTAATCTCCTCTAGGGTCCCACATTTTATGAAATGACATATGAGCAAGAGCCTATGGTGATGATGGAGGAAGTTCAAGTAGCTATGAAGGAACTGGCAAAAAACAAGGCTCCAGGAGTTGATGGCATACCAATTGACATATTTCAACAAACAGATACTGGCCTGGATGTGCTCACTAAGTTGTGCCAAGAAATCTGGAGAACAGCCAGCTGGCCCACTTACTGGAAAAGATCGATATTTGTTCCCATTCCAAAGAAAGGTGACCCAACAGAGTGTGGAAATTATCGAACAATATCATTGATATCACATACAAGCAAGATTCTGCTGAAAATTATCCAAAAACGTTTGGAACAATATGTCAACAGAGAACTGCCAGATGTGCAGGCTGGATTTAGAAGAGGTCGTGGTACTAGGGATCTTACAGATAATGTTATATGATCTTAGCAGAAAGCAAAGAATACCAGAAGAATGTCTATCTGTGCTTCATTGACTATGCAAAGGCTTTTGACTTGTGTGGATCACAATAAGCTGTGGCTGACTCTGAGAAGAATGGGAATCCCAGAACATTTGATTGTGCTAATGCGAAACTTGGACCAAGAGGCAGTTGTCAGAACAGAGCAAGGAGACACTACATGGTTCAAAATCAAGAAGGGGGTCCATCAGGGACGTATTCTGTCTCCATACCTTTTCAATCTGTATGCAGAACAGATCATCCGAGACGCTGGGCTATACGAAGAGGAATGTGGCATCAGGATTGGTGGAAGAATCATCAACAACCTAAGTTATGCAGATGACACAACCCTGCTTGCTGAAACTGAGGAGGACCTGAAGCGCTTGCTGCAAAAGATCAAGGACTACAGCCTCCTATGTGGACTGAAGCTCAACATCAAGAAAACAAAGATTCTCACCACTGAGCCAATTGGCAGCATAGGTATGCATGGTGAAGAGATTGAGATAGTTAACAGTTTTAATTTACTTGGCTCCACAGTCAACACTCTTGGTAACAGCAAGGAAATCAAGAGATGAATTGCATTGGGAAAGTCAGCTGTGAGGGACCGCTCAAGAGTACCGAAGAGCAATGATATCAGACTGGAGACTAAGGTGCGCCTGATCCAGGCTATCGTCTTTGCAATTACGTGCTATGCATCAGAGAGTTGGACAGTGAATAGGGATGATAGAGAATTGATGCCTTTGAGCTGCAGTGCTGGAGAAGAGTGTTGAATATACCATGGACTGCTAGGAGAACAAACAGGTTCGTCCTGGAGAGAGTGACGCCAGAATGCTCCTTGGAGTCAAGGATTCTGAAGCTTCGTCTGACATATTTTGGGCATGTTGCAAGGAGGGACTGGTCCTTGGAGAGGAACATCATATTTGGTAGAGTGGAGGGGCGGTGAAGGAGAGGAAGACCTTTGATGAGATAAATCGATTCTGTGACTGAAGAGGTGGGAATAAGTGCGCTTGAGATGGCTAGGTTGGCACAGGATAGAAGAACGTATAGAGCTCTTGTACATAGGGTTGCTATGGGTCACAGGCGACTCGATGTCACATAACAACAAACAACAAGGGTCCCACATCCCTTATTTGTGTGGTTTTACTCCCACAAGGGTGCCATGCACCTTATTTACATTATTGACAAGGGTGTCCAGTTCCTTTGGTGATCCATAAGTCCTTTATTCGCGTGGTCTTTTGGTGGGAGTTACAGGACCATGGCAAGCAAGACCACATGAAAATGACCATTGCACATGCCCGTGTAATCTGGAACATGCAGCGGTCCTGGGAATTAGGACATCTCTGTGAGTGACATCATTTTCTCACCATGCTGTGCTGATGTGGCCCTGTAAGCGGCCACTGACAGTGCTTGTGTGGCTCGATACTCTAGTCTTTCCCTTCAGCACAGAAACTTGTCTCATCTCTCCCATCTAAGATGCCCCTTCCCATTAACTTCATCCTCAGAGTTGTCCACCTGCCCATTCTCCACATTCTCACCCGATCCTTGTTCCCTGTGCTGCCACTTCACCAAAACCATGCCTTGGCATGTCACTGAGGACCTTCTAGTGGACGTTTCTCAGCACATTCCACTGCACTTTGCCCTTTGGCTGTCAGAATGCCACTCTTTTGGACTTTCCTGCCACTGACTCCTCCTTTCACATTCCAAGTTATAAGTCTGGAAATAGACTGTCTTGCTTTGGGCCCTGGCTCTGCCATTTATTGCCTCTATAATCTTAGGAAACAGTTGGAAGTGCTCAATACCTTACTTTTCTCATCTCTGCAGTGGTTATGTGAGGATGGCCACTGCCTCTCAGGGCTGCTCTTGGTTTGCTCTGAGTGTGTGTTGGAGCATCTGAGGTGTGACGGTGCACCCCTGTGTGCTTGCTGGGAAGCCCCGTCTCCCTGAAGCCTCACCCTTTCTGCCCCAGCAGCAGGCCAATGGGAGCCAAGTCCATGTCCTCTACTCCACACCAGCCTGTTACCTCTGGGAGCTGAACAAAGCCAACCTGACCTGGTATGTGCCGGATCTGGCTACCTGGGGGGATTGGGATGCTCCGTGGGCTGTGACAAGGTCCTCAGTGCCCCTCTCTGCAGGTCAGTGAAACAGGATGACTTCTTCCCCTACGCAGATGGCTCCTACAAGTTCTGGACTGGCTACTTCTCCAGCCGGCCGGCCCTCAAACGTTATGAACGCCTCAGTTACAACTTCCTGCAGGTGGGAGGGTACCTGGCTGAGGAGGTGGCCAAGGATCCCAGGCAGGCTTGTCCACCCTAACACCCCCCTTCCTGTCAGGTGTGCAATCAGCTGGAGGCGCTGGCAGGAGCTGCAGCCATCAAGGGACCCTATGGCCTGGGAGACAGTGCCCCTCTCCGTAGGTGACAGGCCACTGAATGGACAGGGAAGGTGGGGCAGCACTGGGCTAGAGCTATCATTTGACCCTTATGTTTCTCCTTTAAAGCTCCTTACCTCCTACCATTGGACCTTTGGGGTCTCCCTGGGGTCAGGGCAGATGTCTGATGGAGACCGTGCCCAAATCACCATCCCACCCGCAGGGGAGGCCATGGCAGTGCTCCAGCACCATGATGCGGTCACCGGCACCTCCAAGCAGCACGTAGCTGACGACTATGCCCGCCAGCTGGCCCAGGGCTGGGGACCCTGTGAGGTGTGGAGGGCCAGGCCTGGAGAGGGCGGGACCTAGTAGATGAGAGGCGTGGGAGGGCTGAGACAGAGGCAGGAATGGGCGTGGTCAGGGAAGTGGGGCGGGGCGGGGCCAGGGAAGTGGGGCGGGGCCGAGAATGCTTTGGTACTGGGATGAGGAGGGTTAGGGAGAACGGGCATCCAGAGCGGGCCCGGCCCTTTATGTTCCTTCCCAGGTGCTCCTGAGCAATGCACTCTCGTGGCTCAGTGGCTCCAAGGACAAGTTCACATTCTGCCGCGAACTCAATGTCAGCAACTGTCCACTCACCCAGACCGAGGAGAGGGTGAGTCGTCCTGCAGGAAGGAGAGCGGACAGGAGCCACAGAAGGAGCCAGTCTCATGGGCAGATCGAAGAACTGGAAAGGGCCAATCCTGGGGTGGGGTGGGGTGAAGAGGAGCCCCGGTTCGGGTCCTGGCCTCTGCTCTGGGTGGTTACAGAATTGTCTGGAGCTTCACGTATGGGGTGCCCTCATCCTCGATGGCCTTGATAGTGTTAGCATCATACACGGGGACATTACCTCTCTCGGTGGGTGGGTTGGAAGAACTTGCAGTGACTCATGCCCTCCCTGACCTTCCCACCCCAGTTCCAGGTCACCATTTATAATCCTCTGGGGAGGAAGTTAAATTGGATGGTGCGGCTGCCGGTCAGTGGAAGCATTTTCTTGGTGAAGGACCCCAGTGGTGTGACTGTACCCAGCAAAGTAAGTCCCTTTGATGAATATTGCACCCACAAATACCTCCCTCCCAGTTACCCCCTTCCTTAAACACGTTTCCGTGGACAGCTCCCCCATGCACACCCCTCTGCCATGAATATCCCACTCTCTCCTGTGGAAGCCATCTAGACCTCCCAAAGACACCTCCCTGATTTGGGTTCGTCCTCCTCCCCAGGTTCCTTCCTCTTTCCAGCTCTGTCCCATTCTGTCCCTCCAGGTCCCTTTGGGAACATCTCATTCCCACGAATGGCTCTCTTTTTCGGTTTTCCACTTAGAAAAATCTTTCCTGTTTATAATCTTATTTCCCCAGGATACCCCCACGCACCATTCAGACCAGTTGCTGTCAAACTCTTTTTTTTATTATTATTAATTTTAATGACAGTTTACAGAGGCTTAGAGTTTCTAGTCATTTACTGTGGCACTTGTCAGACTGCCTCTTAACTCCCTTAGTGCAATTGGCAGTCATACTCCACTGCTAACTACAGGTTGGAGGTGGGAGTCCACCTGGAGGTACATTAGAAGATAGACTGGTTAACCCACTTCTGGGGGAAAAAGAAAAACTCAACTACTGGAAACCCTGCGGAGCATAGCTCTACTCTGATACCAAGGAGGTTGCTCTCACACGCAGTCCCTCCTACAGCTCTTCCTTCAAGAGCCAGTCAGCCCCTCCCTGCCCTCCCTCATGCAGCTCTTCCCTTCAACTTCCTTTCTTACTCCTTCCTCCTACCCCGTGGGTTTTAAATTTTTTTCTACCTGGAAAGGGTTAAACCGGGTGGCTCCTTGGAGGCAAGGATTCTGAGGCTCCGTCCAACATACTTTGGACAAGTTGTAAGGAGAGACTGGTCCTTGGAGAGGGACATCATGCTTGGAAGGGTGGAGGGATGGCGCAGGAGGGGAAAACCCTCTATGAGATGGATTGATTCAGTGACTGGGGTAATCGGGATGGGTGTGTCAGAGGCAATGCGATTGGCACAGGATAGAGCAGGATTTAGGGCTGTTGTACATAGGGTCGCTATGAGTTGCAAGCGACTTGACGGCACATAACAACAACAACAACAACACCTTGTAATGACTCTCCACTGCGATCTTTTCCTCAGAATTTCTCTGCTAAATAAATATCCCTTCCCCATCCCAGGAATCCTTCCAGTGCCTACGTTTGGCCCCTCTGCTCAGCGTGCCCCTCCCACATATATGTGCTCTCTGTCTCTTGACTATGGTTTCCTCCCTATTTTCCCAGGTGGTGGCACTTCAGGACCCAGAAGGTCAGGAGCACCCCCCAGAGCTGCTTTTCTTGGCCTCAGTACCGGCTCTGGGTTTCAGCACCTACTCAGTGGCCCAGGTGCCTGCTCGGCAAGTCAAGGTCCGCCCCTCCCAACCCAGGCACCAGTCCCCTGTCCTGGTCATACAAAATGAGGTGAGACTGCTTTAAAATTCCCTTCCCTCCCCCCATAGCAAGTTTGAGGTGTCATAGTAAATGGGAGTTTGTCAGTGCTGCCGCTGGTGGGTGAGTGTCTGTGCTTCCAGACCAGGAGTCAGGCTTTGCGGGGAAGGTGATGGGTGAGGGCGATGCTGAAGGAAGTGAGGAGTGTGACCATGTGGCTGTGTGGGGAAGAGGGAGTGTGAGGAGGAGGAGCAGATTCAGAAGCCCTCAGGCAGCAAGTGTTGGGTGTTCAAGGAACCCCAGGAAATGTGGCGTGGCTGAAGTGGAGAGCTGGTGGTGAAGGGAGGAGAGGAGGGCAGAAGGAGAGAACTTTGACTTTTTGAGAGAAGGAACCACACCAGGGTCCCGAGAAGGCTTCATTACGACTTTTGTGGACCTGTGACTTTTGTCTTTGTGGGCCCCTTCCTCCATAAAAGGATACTAAAATGATACTCTGTGATGCATTAATATAAAGGGAGTTCTAATCCATGCAGAATTCCTTAGTATATATTCATTTTTAGCAAATCCAAGATTCTAAAAGTAAATTCAGAACAGTTCTGTGAACACCTATCATCTTCTGGGTCTTGGGCTTTGCGATGCTGGTACCAGGTGTCAGGCCCAGGCCCAAGCCAGGAAGGGACTTGATGGCCCTGATCTGCCCTCCAGCTGCTGTGTGTGTGTGTGTGTGGGGAACAGACTGAAGGTTAGAATAGGGGAGGGATCTAGGAGGACAGAGTGGAGGACAGATACCTGTGCACGGGAAAGGTGTGGAGGCTGTAAGAAGTGGACGAAGATGAACTTTTGAGAGTTTGCTAATGGGATCAAGTGTGGAAAGTGAGAGAGCAGAGATGTGACGCTAGACTTTTGTTGCGATCTTTGAGACAGACAGACCCCTCTTGGCCTGGGTGATGGCCATTAATATCAGTCCCCCTTCTCTGGCCAGCACATCCGGGCTTCCTTCAGCCGTGACACAGGGTTCTTGATGGAGATTGAGAACCTGGACGAGAAGCTTGTGCTGCCCATTCGCCAGGCCTTCTTCTGGTGAGGGAGGATCACCAGGCCAGGGAGGTGATGTGGACAGAGCCCTGGGCTCCTTACCTGACTCTTGCTTTTCTCCACCTCAGGTACAATGCCAGTACAGGCAACAACCAAAGTGCCCAGGCCTCAGGTGCCTACATCTTCAGACCCAGTAGATCAAAGCCATTGCCAGTGAGACACTGGGCAGAGATTCGCGTGATCAAGGTTTGCAGTCAGGAATGCTGGGTGGGCAGGTGGGAGTGGCGACTGGGGTAGGGGAGCTCTGGGATTCCTTCTGGGGTATGAGGAGGCATGGGAGGGAAGGTAAATCATGTGTTTGAGGTTGAGGGGAAGGATTCACATCAGTATCTGATAAAGAGATGAAATAATGTCCAGGGGTCCTCTCTTGGGCTCGTATTTATGCCTTTGTATGCACAAGGTGAAAGTCATCTGGTAGTACTGGGGTTAAGGCATTCTTCTGCTAACTAAGAGGCTGAACGTTCAAACCCACCAATCTCAGTGGGAGAAAAACGAGACAGTTGTTTCTGTAAAGATTTACAGCCTCCGAAACACAATGAGTAGCTCTCCTCTGCCCACCTGGAGTTAGAACATGCCCAAGAGCGGTGCATTGGGTTTGGTGTCTGAGGAAGCACAAACCAAAGGCTTACAGGTGCCAGAATGCTATTTGGCTTTGGAAATTTGGGGATGGGGCATTCCAGCTTTGTTTGTAAATGGGGAGGGTCCCTTGTCGTTGTTTGGAGTTCAGCAAAGATATGTGGTATGATGGGTTCCTATCTGAGACGGGTATATGAGATTGTACACTTACTACATTTCACTTAGGGTACGTATCTGTGGGTGCATCTGACTGGGAAGACAGCTTATTTAACAAGTAAATGAGGGAGTTTTCTGTGGCCAGTAGTATCTGTATACCGTTGAGGCAAGCATCTGCATATTTGGGTGTGTTGTTGCTGTTTTATGTGGTTGAGTCAGAACCAGCATGTAGCTGACCCTCCAGTGGGTGTTCAGAGGTAGTTAATTGCACGAAGGAAATAACCCATCCTTCTCCCTCGGAGCACCTGGTGGCTTTGAACAGTGTGCCTGTGGGATTGCAGTGCAGCTTCTTACTACTAGGCTACTGAGCTCCCAATTTGGGTATGTTGTTGTGTGCTGTGGAGCTGGAACCAACCCATAACTGACCCTCCAGTGGGTTTTCAGAGACAGTAAATCTCACAGGAGAAGATTGTCCAGCTTTCTCCTGCAGAGCAGCTAGTAGATTCGAACCACATGGTTTGGGGATTGCAGTGCAGCATCTTACCTGTAGGCCACCAGTGTATATTAAGGTGTAATTTTACCTGTTTAATCAAGTCATCCAAATTAACTGCTCTTTCTCTCTAATGTAAAGTCTGGCAGTCCAAGCCAGGTAAGGTAGTTCCACAATCACTTAGGCCCCTTCTGTCTTATTGCCCTGTCTTCTCCAACATTCAGCTTCTACCTCATGATCCAAGAAGGCTGCCTAGGCAGCAGCCATTGCAGCTGCATTTGAATCAAAGGGACAGAAAAAGGTTAAGGAGAACCATTGATACACTTGACCACTTTCTGTTTGGCACACTGTGGTCTACGTAGCTCAAGGAGCTCTGATGGCTTAATGGTGAGAGGTTGCACTTCATGAGAGAAATAGGGGAAGTCTCCCCCCTTGTGATTTACTGCCTCTGAAAACCCACTGGAGGGTCAGCTATGAGTTGGTTCCGACTTGAAGATACCCAACAACAACAGCAGCAACAACTATCTAGCTATGGATCAAGCTAGACTCCTATGAAAGGAGGGAGGTAGGGGTAATGTTATAATATATGTTATAATATATGTTATACAAGCGTATATTCCACCCTCCAGAATTATGTAGCCACGTGTGACAACAATCTGGAAAAAAGGTGCATTGTGGGTTGGGGTGGGAAGAAAACATTCAACAGTGAAAAAAATAATAAATGTGATTAAAAAAGTATTAAAAACTTGAGGGAGTTAAAAAAAAAGAATTATATAACCATGGCTAGGCAGGTGTGGAAGGTGGGCGAGGTGCCTGTATTGTCAGTGAGGTTGACTCTGCTGTAGGCTTAATGTTTGGGGCGGCTTCTCAGCAGAGATGGGTATTTTCAGAGCTCACCCCTGCACAGGTGGGGGGAATACACCTGTCCTCTGCCCCCTGTGCCCCTAACCATGTGCCTGTAGAATGACTTGGTGCAGGAGGTGCACCAGAACTTCTCTGCCTGGTGCTCTCAAGTGGTCCGCCTGTACCCAGGACAGAGGCACCTGGAGCTGGAGTGGACAGTGGGGCCAATACCAGTGGGGTGAGTGTTCTGACTGGGTCAGGGCGGGGCAGGGCCAGGGTGGACTCAGGTGAGGCTCACAGCCTTATGTTCCTATCGGCTGCAGTGACGGCTGGGGGAAGGAGGTCATCAGTCGCTTTGACACTTTGCTGGAGACGAATGGACGCTTCTACACAGACAGCAATGGCCGGGAGATCCTGGAGAGGAGGTGGGGGTGGCTGGGGACACTGAGGGCACCGATTGGCTTGTGGTTTATTGGTTGGGGCCCAGGAGTGGTGGGGACATTTGCTGATCATGAGTGTGGGAGGGAGAGGATGGTGGGTGGGTGAAGAGTAGGCGAGCAGGGGAAGGAGAGTCAGACCTAAGTCAGAAACCGGTCCCCCCACCCCCCAGGCGTGATTACCGGCCCACTTGGAACTTGAATCAGACTGAGCCCGTGGCAGGAAACTACTACCCGGTCACCAGCCGCATTTACATCACGGTACTCCCGACCCCCCCACCGCCAGCTGGGCCTGCCTCCCTCACCTCGTCCTGACACTCTTCTTTAGAGAGGGAATTGCCTCTCATGCTCAGCCTTGCCCAGCTGCCCTCAGCAGTGACTACCGCTCCCCACCCCAGGCCTGTGCCCGCCCCCGGGGCTGATTTTCAGCACTGTGCCTCACCCTGATCTCTCACTGCCAGGATGGGCATATGCAGTTGACGGTGTTGACTGACCGTTCCCAGGGGGGCAGCAGCCTGAGCGATGGCTCCCTGGAGCTCATGGTGAGTGGGTACAGCCCCATCTAAGTCAGGCCCTCCCACTGGGCCTTCACCAAGTCCGCAGCCCCCGCTGGACCTGGGAGCTGATTTCTGTCCCAGCTTTCTGTAGTCCCCACTAAACTGAGACCCCTCTTCCTATTCAAGAGTTTTGTCCAAAAAGAAAAAAAAGAGTTTTGTCCAATCCCAATCTAGTAACTTGCCCTGTTCTGTCTGTACTTACTTGGAGTCCCCTACTAGACCCTCAAGTTCACCTCGTCTGCTCCTCTTGCCTGTTCTTTTTCCCCCCTCAAGCTCTTAGCCTGTTTGTGGTCCAGCGACACCAGCAGACCCTCCCCCTCTTCTGGCCACTGTCCCCGCAGGTCCACCGGAGGCTGCTGTTAGACGATGCCCGTGGTGTAGGGGAGCCACTGCAAGAAGCCGGGCCGGATGGACAGGGCCCGGGTCTGTGGGTGCGAGGACGCCACCTGGTCCTGCTGAACACCGCCCGGGCTGCTGCCAGCCAGCACCGCCTGCTGGCGGAAGAGGTGGTCATGGCCCCGCAGGTGGTGCTGGCTCCCATGGGTAGTGTCCCCTATAGCCTGGAGACCACCCAGCAGACACAGGTGAGGGGCAGAGGGGTCTGTAGATGCGGAGGATGGGAATGGAGCCTGCAAATTGGATGCAGGCTTTTCTAGGCTTCCTCCAGATCCATCTTGCTGGCCTCTTGCTGGCTGAGTGAAGGCCATAAGCAAGACCCCAACCCCTCGAATCAGCCCCGCCCTCTCCCCCCTCCGTGGGCCTGGCTCAGTTTCAACCCGCCTGAACCTACAGCTCAATTTGCTGGTGTGACTCACACCCTGTCCCGGCTTCTTTACCTTGGTCCAACCCTGTCTACTCCAGTTAGGACCCTCTTTGGCCACTCAGCAACACAGTCTAGGCCCCGCCCCGCCCCTTCAGCTCAGCCACGCCTCCTGACCACGGCGAGCCACGCCCCCAGCACAAACCCCGCCCCTTCCATGCCGGCAGTTCTCTGGGTTGCTTCGGGAGCTGCCACCAGCCGTGCATCTGCTCACCCTGGCCCGCTGGGACCCAGAGACGCTGCTGCTGCGCTTGGAGCACCAATTCGCTGTCGGGGAGGGAAGTGATCGTAACCTAAGCTCCCCTGTCACCCTGGACTTGCGGGTAAGCACAGGCAGACAGGAGAGAAGAGGGAGACGCCTGCTTTGTCCGCACTCAGCCAACCAAGCCATCCACTTCCCGCAGGACCTGTTCACCACCTTCACCATCACCCACCTGCAAGAGACCACGCTGGCGGTCACCCAGCCCCGGGATCGTGTCTCCAGGCTCCAGTGGACCACGAAAACAGGTAAGGGCCTGCCTGGAATGGGATCTGGGATCTGGGATAGTGTGAGGGAATGTTAGCCAGATCCCAGGCAGAACTTGAGAGTGTTGATAGTGGACCCAGATGCAGGTTAGAGTCCTGTGGGTCTGAACTGAGTTTAGCAAACCAGCATCGGATTTGAAGGTTTGGAGTTCAGTATCCACGATTTGGACTCTAGGGTCCATGTTCAGTTCTGAGAGTATAATGTGTAATATGCATAATATGCATAGCCTGTATTGGTCCCCATCACCCATGGGGTAGGCTTAAGGACCCCAGGTGTGGGGCTTGAAGATATGAGGGTGCTGGCCAGATATTTTTGGATTTGGAGCTGAGGCCCTTTGTACTGATTGTAGAGTTTAAGGCTATGGTGAGGCTCAGGGGAAGGAGCACAGTAGGGCAGGCCAAGGGAAAGTCTGTACTCCTCATTCCCCTTCCCCTGCACCCCAGGCCCTGTAACCCAAGCTGAGCCCTTCTTCCTGGACCCCGCCGCCATCACACTGCAGCCCATGGAAATCCGGACCTTCTTGGCCTCTGTCCAGTGGAAGAAGGCTATCAAGACCTGAGAGGACCCTTCACTTCTGAGGCTGTCTCCTCCACTAGGCATTGTGGACAATCTTCCCTTTTCCTTTTTACTGCTGCTGTCACCAACAGAAGCCATTAAAATGCCACTGCCAGCGTCCCAGTTGAGGCGTGACTAAGTGTGATTGGAGTGGACAAAAGAGTGGGTTCAGCAAAGTCAAAACCCTAGGTGGTGCCCCTTAGGGCTTACAGGGAGGAGTGACACTGCTGCTCATGCCCCGCCCACCATTCATGCCCCGCCTACCATTCATGGCACACCCACTGCACATGCTCCTAGCCGCTGCTTCAGGCCTGTGTCCTCTCAAAACTCTGACAGCTGCCAGGAGAAGTTATAAAAGGCAGTCCTATGTTGGACCCTAGGGCCTGGAATGTACCCTGAGTTCTTCCTGAACTGACCCTGAAAGGCTGAGCCCTGAAGGTGAGGAATGTGGGGAGGGTCTTGGTGGAAAAGCAGAGGCAAGTGTCAAAGGAAAGGCTTGGCTAGGTGGCCAGGAGCTGTGGCCCTCCAGGAGACAGAAGAGAGTCTGGAATCTTCTGGGATCCAGCATGGGACCCCGTCACAGGAATTACTCCCTGAAATGTTAAGTCCCACTCTGTGGCAGGGAGGCCACCCAGGGAAGCTGCCCCATCTCCAGTTCTGTAGGCTCGTGTAGTGCTTGGTCCTGGCAGGTGGCTTGTGAACACTTTACAAATCTCTGGCCTGAGCTGGCCAGACAGGGAACTCTGAAGAAGGTGCTCTAGGTTCAGCCACAACCCACATGGACCTGTATGTAGTAAGAACCTCCCGAAGATGTTGCAGATGGGACCTCAGGCCTGGGCTGGGAGGAAAGGCCTGGCTGTGGTGCAACTTGGTCAGGAATGTGCTTTCCCCTGGAGTTTTCTAACTCTCAAAAGGAGTGAGCCAGCCTGAAGCAGCCAGGGAGGTATGGAGAGGGTGACCTGCCGAGGCCCCTAGTCTCGGGAAGGACTTGGTCTTAGGCATCTCCTGAAGACATTGCTAGTAAGTCCCTCTCTGGTGGTAAGGTCCAGGCTTGGGAGGTGAGAGAGCCTGAAGGAGAGTGTGGTAGGCAGGGCCCTGATTCCATGTGGGTTGGAAAGGCTCTTTCTAGAGGCTGACATGAGTGTGACTAGAACGGGGAAGCCACCTGACCCAACCTTGCTGTTCAATGGGTGCATCTCTTGAAAAGGTTTCCAGGTCCCTTCTGGTTATGAGAGGTGGACAGCCATGGAGGAGGTCCAGGGAGGTTGTGCGCTATTTCCAAGTCCCTCTCTAGTGATATGAGTAGGCCAGGGCCTTGCATTGAGGGTGCCTTCTAAGGTTGAGAGGTGATATTTCTAATCTCCAATGACGGGGACCGCACTGGTGGACTAATGTGGCTTGCAGACTGGTCATAGCTCAGACAACTCTCTTTTGGGCCCTGGTCATATTCTTTTACTCTGGGAGGGAATACCAATCCAGGCCAGTAGGGAAGCTCGATGGGTCACTAGACCCCTGGTGTCAATTCTGTTTGGGTGCCAGTCATTAAAGGTGTTTAGGAAAAGTTTTTGAAGTCCCTCTTACTCGGCTGGGGATGATCCAGATCTCAGAGGAATGGAGAGTGCCTGGCCTGCATAAAACCCTGCATGGGACCAGACTGAAGCTAGGCTTCTGAATGTTTTCTGAGCTCTCTCATATGATCTGGCTGGGCCCACCAGGGAGACCAATGCCTTTGGTGCCCCCAGTGACCCACTTAGTCAGTCACTGGATGGGTTCTCTGAAATAATTTATAAATTCTTTGTGAAGACTTGGAAAAACCTGGCCAGTGCTGGAAGCCATGATCCTGCATGAGGCCCTATCTCTGGAGGTGTTCTCTGAGAAGGCATGGGAGCCCCTTACCTTAAGGGGACAGGTCAAGGCCAGGAAGTGTCTAGAAGGGGCATCATCTTGGACACGCCATATTTTTGAACTTGTGTCATCGTCACATGTGTCTCAAAAAAAGCTTTCAAGTCCCCCTCTGGAGAAAGTCATCTCATTGGGGTTCTTTGTTGCTACTCCTTCTGGGTTTTTTAAAGCATCATGTTGAAGGGAGAAAAGATTGAAGCTGTCAAGGGTTTAGTTTTACTTGGAACCACGGTCAGCACCCCCAGAGATTGTGAACAGCACACTGGAAGCTTATGCTGTCCTGCCTTCAGGGTTTCTGCCATGCTAAGCCCATTGTCAAAGTTCATAGACTTTAGTGAATTTGATGAGCTTTGATAAATGTCGATGGTTGTAGAGGGGCTTCAGGCCTTTTGTTCATAGAGTTGCTATGAGTCGTGCTTGACTCAGAAGCATCAATAGCAAAAAGCCCATTGTCACAGGCACTGTCATGCATCTCCTTGTTGATATCCTCCTTCCTGGAACATGGCACTGGGGCGTTTCACTCTTGGCCAGGTTTGTGAGGATGTTGTTTTATATTGAGGTGCAGTCCTTACCAACGATTGCTGAAGTTAAAAGCCTTCAGGATAAATGGCCATTTGGGCCATGGAATGCTTCCCCAGCTGACCAGTCTCATGCAGAGTCTGGCCATAGAAATTATTTCTATGCCCCTTTTCTGAGGCCAGAAATGGCACAGGCCAATCAGAGAAGCTGGAGGAGAGCGGCTTATTCTCACGTGATACTCCTCATTGCTGTGGCCCCAGTACGTGGTGGTCCAGCAAGACAGGGAGGAGGCTAGCTGCTGGGGTCTCTGCCCCTTCAAGAAGTGTCAGGGGTTGGGCGCCACCTGATGGCAGTTTGTAGTCTCCGGAACTCTGGATGCCTTGGCCTGCAGTGGGATTGACACAACCCTGCTTGCTGAAACTGAGGGGGACCTGAAGCTCTTGCTGCAGAAGATCAAGGACTGCAGCCTTCAATAGGGATTGAAGTTCAACATCAAAAAACCAAAGCTGCTCACCAATGGGCCAATTGGCAGCACCATGATGGATGGAGGGTTTTAACAGTTAACAACTGACTGTTCCACAATCAACACTCTTGGCACCAGCAGTCAGGAAATCAAAAGATGAATTACATGGGAAAAGCTACTGACTGGGACCTCTCCAGAGGACTGAAGAGCAATGATGTCACTCTAGAGACTAAGGTGTGCCTTATCCAGTCATCTGATAATCGAATGGGAGGATTGGATAAATCCACCCACAGAAATCCCAAAGGATCCACTTGGATCTGCTGGATGCAACCTGAGTAGAGTGTCCTTGGATCGTCAGTGTTTCCATGGTGAATTGTAGAATCCTCTGGATAGGGTGTGACTGGTCAGGAGCACTCTGGGTGAGGGTGCCCTGCACTGAACCAGCATGTGACCCTAGACTCCAATAGGCAAGATGACCAGAGTTACTTCCCGGAGGTGTTTCCCAGACTCCTTCTGAGAGTGAGCAGCTGGTCCAGGCTGCCAGGGAACTGAGATAGGATACTCTGTTTCCAGCTGCAGTTGTCATGGAGGCTCCACCCACAAAACCTTTGTAAGCCCCCTGCCAGTGGTGGAACCACTGAGAAACAAAGCTCAAGGGTGACCCCTTGCTGCTGTTAGACTTTGAGGGGTCAGCTTTTCCCCAGTTGTATTTTGAGTGCTTTCCAACATGAGGGCTTATTTCCCATCACTGTACCACTTGATATTCATAGGGTTTTCGAGGGCCTGTTATTTCAGAAGTGGATGGCTAGTCTTGCTTTGTCTGTCCTTTGAGTTTGTAAAAATCAAAACTTAATCTCCCTGCTGTCATGTTGGTTCCAATTCATATAACCTCCTCAGAGCAGCTGGTGCTTCCAGCTGCTGGAGACAACTCCTTTTGTTTAGCAATGCAACACCCTATGAACTAGATCACCAGAGCTCCTCTGTCTGGAAAATTATCCTAAAATGTTTCTAAGCCTCTCTGTAGAAACGCTTTCCCCGCCCCTCGCCCCCAGCTGGACAGGGAGGCTTAGGGAGGGTGCCCAGGTGCTGTTTATGGCTCAAATTGGGCTTGACTCTTAGAGGTCCTCCAGGAAAACATTTTGAAATTGTCTTGCCAGACTGAGCCCTACCCTGGCTGACCCTGGAGCCTGGGGAGCTCATTGCTGTCATGTCTATTCCTTGAAGATATTTCCAAGTCCCCCTAAAAGGGCAGGAACTAACCAGAGGTCTGAGGAGGGTATTCTTAACCCAGACTCAGTTGCACACATGGGGCTAGGTGACTGATGGCACGATCTAAACATTTTGGTAACTCCCCTGTCCTTGAATCTGGGTGGGCCCTAATTATAGGAGACACCTCCCAACCATGTTTCTAAGTCTCTACTGGTGGTTGCTGGACAGTAGTGACCGTGGAAGGAACTCCGGGCCTGGTCTTACAGTTCCCATGTTGTGCAATGATCTGTGGTCACAATTTGTCATCATCCTTGACAGAAACTATACTCTCCCCTAGGTACCAATCTGATCTACTCGGGTATGCACTGATGAACCTTGATCTCTATGTTGTTGTTGTTAATGTGCCATTGATTCGCCTGTTACCCAGAGCAACCATGTGTATAGCAGCTCTGAAGCCTGCCCTGTCTTGAGCCAGTCTCATTAATCCTGGCACACCAACCCCCATTCATTGCCCCAGTCACTGTAACAATCCTTTTCATCTGGGGTCTTCTTCTCCTGCACTGTCCTTCCACTCTTCAGAGCATGAAGGCCTTCTTCTTCTGGCCACATAGCCAAAGTATGTGAGATGGAGCTTCGGCCTCCAGAGCTCGGCCTCCAGAGCTCCCTGTGAATTCTATATATTTGCTTATTCTAAATATTTCAAATAAATGGAGTCATACAGCATTTGGCCTTTTGCAACTGACATATCTCCCTTGGCATAGTTTTCAAGGTCCACATCCATTATTGTGTCATCCATTGGGAATTCATTCCTCTGTAATATCTCATTTTAGATGTACACCAAATTTTGTTCATTCCTTCATCTTTTAGTGGACATTTTCATTGTCTCCACATTTTGGATATTGGGGGAAATACTGTGGTCAGTATTGTTCAGGTTTCTGTTTACATTCTGGATTTTACTTCTTTTGGGTGTGTAAGGAGAATTGGGATTTTGGGGTCGGTCATATGGGTCTATTTTTGAGAAACCCTCAGGCTGATAGTCACAGTAACTATATGATTTTACATTTTCAGCAGCAACAAATCAGGGTTCCAGTTTCTCTATAGCCTTGCCAATACTACTTTTGACTTTTAAAAATTTATTTACTTTTAATGGACTGAGGCTCAATGTCAAGAAGACAAAGATTCTCACCACTGGACCAATTGGTAGCATCAGGATGCATGGTGAAGAGATTGAGATTGTTCACAGCTTCAGTTTGCTCGGCTCCACGGTCAACACTCTTGGCACCAGCAGCCAGGAAATAAAAAAACGTACTGCGATGGGAAAGCCTGCTGTTACGGACCTCTCTAAAGTACTCAAGAGCAATGGTGTCTCTCTGGAGACTAAGGTGTACCTGATACAGGCCATGGTCTTTGCAATCTGCATCAGAGAGTTGGACAATGACTAGGGAGGATAGAAGGAGAATTTATGCCTTTGAGCTGTGGTGCTGGAGAAGAGTAATGAGGGTACCATGGACTGCTAGGAAAACAGATTCATCCTCGAGAGGATTAAACCAAGCAACTCCTTGAAGGCAAGGATTCTGGGGCTTCGTCTGACATACTTTGGGCATGTTGCAAGGAGGGACAGGTCTTTTTGGAGAGGGACATCATGCTTGGGAGGGTGGAGGGACGGCGCAAGAGGGGAAGACCCTCTATGAGATGGATTGATTCAGTGACTGGGGTAATCGGGATGGGTGTGTCAGAGGCAGTGCGACTGGCACAGGATAGAGCAGGGTTTAGGGCTGTTGTACCTAGGGTCGCTATGAGTCGCAAATGACTCGACGGCACATAACTACACCAACAACATAACGGACTGAAGTAGTATGTAATTGTGGTTTAAATTTGCATCTCCCTAAAAGATCCATATTTATTCCAATTCCAAAAAAAGGTGACCTGACAGATTGTGGAAATTATTGAACAATATCACTAATATCACATTCAAGCAAGATCCTGCTGAAGATTATCCAAAAATGACTGAAACAGTAAAGTGACAGAGAACTGACAGATATATAAGCTGGGTTTAGAAAGGGCCATGGCACTAGGGACATTATAGCCAATGTCAGATGGATCTTGGTTGAAAGCAGAGAGTTCCAGAGGAATGTCTATCTGTATTTCATTGACTATGGAAAGACATGTGACTGTGTGGATCACAACAAATTGTGGCTAGTGCTGAGAAGAATGTGACTCCCAGATGACTTGTGTTCATGCAAAACCTATACTTGGACCAGGAAGCAGTTATCAAGACAGAGCAAAGAAGCACTGTATGGTTCAAAATCGGGAAAGGAGTGTACCAGGGATGTATCTTGTCTCCAGACCTTTGTAATCTAGGTGCAGAAAATATCATTTGGGAGGCTGGATTTATTAGGAGAAATGTGGCATTGAGATTGGAGGAAGATTCATCAACAACCTGCGTTATGCAGATGACATAACCTTCCTTGCTGAAACTAAGGAGGACTTGAAGTGTTTGCTGCAGAAGGTCAATATGGATTGAAGCTCAACATCAAGAAAACAGATTCTTACCACTGGGCCCATTGGCAGCACTATGGTAGATAGAGAAGAGATTGGGATTGAACAATTTCAGCTGGCTTGGTTCCACATCAACACTCTTGGCACTGTTGTTGATTGCCTTTGAGTTGAGCATGACTCATAGTGACACCATGAACAAAAGACCTGAAGCTCTTAAGGTGCTTTCTCAAAAAGTTGCAAATAGAGATACCATTTGACCCAGCAATTCCACTACTGGGAATATACTCGTAAGAGACCATAACTGACATCCAAGCAGATATATGCACACCCATGTTTACTGCAGCTTTGTTCACAATAGCAAGGAGTTGGAAACAACCTAAGTGCCCATCAACAAATGAATGGATAGAGAAGCTCTGGTATATTCACACAATGGAATACTACACTGCTTTGAAAAACAAGGAACTCATGCAATATTATTCAAAATGGGTGACTCTGGAGGATATTATGCTGAGTGAAGTATCTCAGTCAAAAAAGAACAAATACTGCATAGTGCCACTGTTGTAAAACAGGACTGACCTTGGGGTTAGGGGGAGACTTAGAAAGATGGGTTCAATAATGTATACTGCATTGAAACAGATGAGGGAGAAAACTGTTTAAAAGGGATATGAGTATTGAGAATACAGTGAGCCACCAAGAGAACAGGTCTGTCCTGGAGAGGGTGAAACAAGTTGCTGCTTGGAGGCAAGAATACTTTGGCCATATTGCCAGGAGGGACCAATCCTTGGAGAAGAACATCATGCTTGGTAGGGTGGAGAAACAGCACAGGAGAGGAAGACCCTGCATGAGAAAGAGTGACACAGTGACTGGGATAATGGGGGTAGGTGTGTTGGAGACAGTGAATTTGGCTCAGAATAGGGCAAGATTCAGAGCTATTGTACATATGGTTGCTAAGAATCACAGGCCTCCATGGCATGTAACAAACAACAATGACTAACTTCACTAGGAAAGTTTTTAGTCAAGGACATCTGCAAATTGTTGAAGGGCAATGATGTCAGTTTGAAGACTAAGGTGTACCTGATTCAGGCTATGGTCTTTTCAACCACTTTCTAGGCCTCTGAGGGTTGTACTGTGAATATAGATGATAGAAGAATTGATGCCTTTGAGCTGTGATGTTGGAGAAGCGTACCGAATGTCTCATAGACACTCAAACAAACAAATTAGCATGTCTTGGAGAAAGTGCAGCCAGAATACTCCTTGGAGACAAAAATAACAAAGCTTTGTCTCACATGCATTGGGCATGTTGTTAGGAGAAGCTTTCTTGGAGAGAGACATCTTGCTTGGGATGGTGGAGGGTTGGTGAAAGAGATTGACCACGTGGATTGACACAGTGACTGCAGCAGTGGGTCCAAGTGTGTCAGAGATTATAAGGATGGCATAGGATGGGACAGGGCTCATATCTGTTGTTCAAGGGATTTCTAAGAGTTGTACTGGGCTCGAAGGCACTTAACAACAACAATGACTAATGAATGAGGGAGCTCTGGTGACATCATCTGTAAGGAGTTGCACTTCTGACCCAAAGACAGCAACTCTCTCGAGGTTCGAATCCATTAATGACTGTGTGGAAGATGGGCAGTATTCCCCTGTGTGATATACAGCTTTCAACAAAATTTTTGGAAGGTCAGCTATCAATGAGAAAGAGAATGACTAATGAGGGGAGCTCTGGAGGTATAGTATTAAGAAGCAGTGATGCAATCCCAAAGGTACCTGTTTGAATTCACCAGCTGCTTCCGTGGGAGGATGGCCAATCTCCTCCCTGAGATGGTGGAGGGTTAGCAATGGGTCAGTTCTGACTTGATGGCACATCCTCATCAACAACAACAAAATAAACTATAATAAAGAAAACTGAAGAAGTCTTGATGTAAGGGAAATATGTGTTGGCGAAGAACATGTTGTAGACTGCCAGATAAACAAATAAGCCAGTCTTGATAAGAGTTCTGTGCAAGGGAGCTCTTGTGGCCTAGTGGCAAGAAGTTGCGCTGCAATTCCGAAGGCAAGCGCTTCTAATCCACCAGATAAGCCGCTAGAGACGCAGGGGCCAATCGGATCCCACTCTATGTTAACAAAACAACGGGGCCAAAAAAAGAGAGCTTTTCTGCAAATGCTCTTTAGATGCAAAGATGTCTGTAGTGTAATTTGGATATGTTATTTGGAGGGACTTATCTTTTGGAGAAGGAAAGCATGCTTGGAAAAATAGAAAACTATAAAGCAAGCTCACTGCCATCAAGTCTGTCCCGACTTATAACAAGCTCTTATACAAGCAGAGCAGAACTGCTGCACACGGTTTCCAAGATCGGGAATCTTTAGGAAGGTCTACTCATTTCACTTTTTTTTTTCCCTGGAGTGGTTTATGAGTTCCAACCACTGCCATTTTTTGCTTAGCAGGTAAACCGTCCACTCCCTAGGGTTCTTTTTGAAAAGGAGAGCATCAGGGGAAAAGAGGAAGATCCTGAAGGGTATGGATAGACAGTGGCTAAAACAATGGGATCAAGCAAGGAAGTGTGAGTTGGCCCAAGACCACACACCTGCGTTTTGCTGTGTTAAACAAATAAAGGAACTCTGTAGGGAGCCTTTGGACTCAAAGGCAGTGGCACTCTGGAGGTTCCATTCCCCCAGTGTCTAAGGGAGTAAGATGGGCAGTCTCCTCCCGTGCGATTTACAGCCTCGGAAACCCCTGAAAGGCCAGCGATGGGTCAGTTCCAACTGAAAGGCGATGCATTACTAAGGTGTTTTTTTTTTTAAATTTTTTATTATTAACTTTAATGAAAATTTACAGAGCCTTTGGATTTTCATCCATCCATCCATCCATCCATCCATCCATCCATCCATCCATCCATCCATCCATCCATCCATCCATCCATCCATCCATCCATCCATCCATCCATTGTTGCAGAGTTACTGAGTTTTGAGTCAGTCGTGATGCGGAACCAATCTCTCCGCTACTACAGACAAAAGGTTTGCACTGGGAACCATTCTTCTGCTACACCAAGCCTCCCAGAAACCGGAAGTAGGCGTGTGCCCCCGCGGCTCCAAGGTTTGCGGTCAGTTTTACAACATTGATAAAGGATATGGCTGCATCTTCCTCCGTCGGGGTGTAAGGGCATCGCGCCCGCCCACCTGTGCACCCAGGTCTCTCGCCCTCCACCCCTCGCAGCGAGTCGCGCTCCCTGCTGCCGTATTGGTGGCCGTTGTCTCCCGGCTGCTGCTGCCTTCCGGACGGCCGAGTAGGTGGGCGGGGCCTGGAGCTCTCGGTGCGTGAACAGGTAAAAGGTGTGTGAACCTTGACGAGGTAAAAGTACCAAGTACGGTATTCATTGCATGTCCTTGTAATCACTGAACAGCATCCGGAGGCAGGGAGTGCTGGCAGCAGTTTAGAACACTGTTAGTTTTTGGAAAGTGATTATAATCGCAATCAAGTCCCAGAATAGTAGCGATAACCAGTCCAATCATTCTCTTTGCTCTGCGATGAATGGATGATAAGAAGTGATGGATGAACATCATAGCCAGAGAATCTTGCCATTGTCGCCACAGTTTCACAGGAAGCCACACTCTGGTCCTGGCTTCTAAGATACAAATGCATTCTCGGCTCTGATTAAAAGCTATAGTAGTATTAAAACACGTAAACAAGAACAGTTGGCACAGGTTATGGTTTGTGTGCTTTCATTCCAATTAATGGGCCTTTTCAAAAACATAAATGGTAACTGCACACATGCCGATATAGAATGAGAGATATTTAAATGAAAAATAAGTCGACTAAAATTCCCAGTATTCAGAAAACCTCTCTGTGCCCATACAGGATGTAACGAGGCAGAAATGTTCCATAAATGATTTTAAGTAGGTAAAGAGGAAGCTGGGAGGCAGGTGGTGAAAATCCTCACCTGTGCTATAATATAGTGTTATTAGCATGGGTATTTATAAATCCATTGCCTTCCTCACGCCATCTTAAAGTCTTAGTTATTGCAAGCTGATGAACGGAACTAACAAGGCTCCAATCAATGATACTTCCATAGGAAATATTAATTAAACTCCTCTTTGCTCTCCTCGACATTGTTTCCAAAGTATCTACTCTCTAATGGAAGATAAAGAAGGCAACTGACAGGAAGGAACATCAGGATAACTTGAAGTTATGTTACTGATGTTTCCATGAAAATCCTTGAAAAATGTAATACATGAATCATTACCTAAAACTTTATACATCCATGCTTGAGCTTCTATTTAAAAATAATGAGATTCATGTCCAATGAATATGGAAAAAATATCAGTACTTACACTCTAGTTAGAAATAGTCATTCCTTCTTCATTAGGTTTAAAGGGTCCCCTGTTATTACGGGGACCTGGAAGCTACTGAATGTCATTATTATAGATAGGTACAAGAACATCAAACTAATGAACTACTTTTTTAAAAAATTTTATTAGTTTTAATGAACATTTACAGGGATTTTGGGTTTTCATTCCTTCATTGCTGCACCATTCTCTCTACCCTCCTCCCCAGTTAGTTCTTCTTCCCCCGCCCCCAA